CCGCAACTATATAGGAATATACACACGTGCTATATATACCTATAAACACACGAGATATTATAACAACACTGCGACATACACACACACACACACACCTATATAGGTATATTATATATTATTGCAATATTGTGTGTATACGCTATAAAAAAAAGTACGACGACCGACTCCTACGCGACCACTGCACGGCTGTCACGGCAGACACGATTTCTACCTATATATAATATTATAAACGCTCAGCGCGCACAATTTGCTGCGCCGCGGAAACCGCCGCGAACATGTTATACCGCAGGCGGTATATAGGGTCCACTGCGACTCTGGACGGTATATACCTCATATATACAAGTATAACAACGATCGATAGGAACCTAGCATGTAACGACTGCAGACGTGCATCGTAACCGTTTATTTTCTTTTTCAGTTCCTATATATAGTCCTCAGATATGTACTCATAATTCTGCATAGCAGTATGGTGAGCAAGGCACATAACGTTTCAGATGATGTACAACATCTTAGAAAATATTCGTCGTATTATCGTATAAAGACAATGACGACCGCGTAATTATGGTAACTTCATTCTTTGARGTTTTATTTTTGAATCAAATTTTAAGCTTTTATTTTTGTATACTAATTTTTATTGGTAGGTATCTCGTAGTGAACGAAAAAACTTGGTTTTAATAATTGTTGATATCAATTCGCTGTAGCTATTAGCAGGTTATACACATATACATAGATTTCGCAGTCGGTGCTCCAATCATCGTTTATTTTTTTTTCACCATTTATTTAGTTAGGTATACTAATTAATTCACGAAAATCAACATAGTTTTGAAAATAATATACATAATGTCAACGTATTGTATCTCCTAASACTACACAACGCTATCGGTTGAAAAATGAAACGAAGTGTGAAGAGACTTCAATCGGCAACTTAACATGTTTGCAGCATTTAAAATATTGTGAACTCTGGTAATATGATGGCTACACGCATCCGTTTTCCACCGAACATTATTATATAATATCAATTGACAAAAAATGTCGATTGCGTACGTTACAGTTTATGAGCCTACCGCCGCCACCCGAAAAGAAACCGTCACGTCATCACAATCATATACTTCGGCGGTTACGGCTAAATAAGCCATAACCCGTCCACTGCCGTTTTTCCGCCGCGTCACCGGCGAGTAGGACGCGTGCGTACCCGACCGGTCACCGCGGCGGTTGCAGCGGTGCAACAATCATAATAATAAAAATAATAATAATAAAGCCGTAGCGGCGGCGTTTTTCCGCTACGTCACGCCACCGCTCTACGCTCWATGTGGTACACATATACACTAACGACTGCGGTACACGCCGTGGACTAATTGCCCGGTCGCGGACGACTGTATTATATTATATTGTGCGCGCGCGGCGGGTGCTATATACGGCCAAGCCGTCCCGCGAACGAGCCATCAGCACACCGCCGCGGCGGGACCTAATATCCATTATTATTATTATTATTATTATTATATCGTCTGGGCTGGCGGCGGCAGCTTAACGACGCCACGATAATATGATAAACGACGACTCGCGAGTAATCAACTCGGAGCAGGCCGTTCGCGCGCAACGAGGAAATTAAGAGATCCGACGGCGGGCGAACTCGCTAACGAGGCATTAAATACATAAGGCGATCTGGCAACACAACAGGCGCTTCCGCTTTGCACAAYGGTGTCTCCGAAAGAAGTCGTCCGCCGCATGCACAACCGCACGTGTTCGTGTGACGAAACTTGAATTATTGACTTGTGCGATTCGAACGTCCGTGGCATATGGATTGATAGATTAGGTTARGCATGGGGTCCATATTTTGGTCGRGCACAGTAATCCGATTCATGTACTCCACAA